CCCCCCCCCCGCCGCTGTTGGGCGCAGTAAAAAATCCGCAGGCTTAAAACCACTGACTCCCTCGCCAGTCCGAATTCACAGTTCGGAGTCGCTGCGACCCCCGACTCATTCGTTGGTCTCTGCAAGCCGGTGGGCACTCGAAGCTAATACAACATGGCACCAATCGGTGAGTAGCCAGTGTGCACCAAATACCCCGGATTAAAATGCCCCCCGCATTACGTAAATCCCGCGAGACCCTCGGCAAAATTCGTCGCGACGATTCCCCCAGTCGTCCCCGACAATCCAAAAATCCACGGGTCAGAGCCAAAACATTACCTGCGCCTTAGTGACGTCACGACAAGTTGCGAAAATTTTTTCCGGTGGATTTGGCAGTTGCGTCAAGTGCTGAACAAGCCCCAATCCCAATCCGCGGTTGCAGCCAGTGATCAGAATCGAATTCATAATTTTCAATGTTGAAAAATCCGTTCACTTATCTCTTCCCCTCGAGAGCCCCAACTTTACGTCGCCGATGAGCACTTTTTCAGTCTCGTGAAGCAAAAGTGCGTGGTTAAACTGTCTTTATTCCCGATAAATCCGAGATCGCAGCGGGAAAAAATCGAGATTCTGCAGCGTCATACAGACGGTCTGGCAGTGTGCCGTGACGTCATCACGATATAAACACTGCGATGGCGACTTGTACGTTTTACTTCCGCGTATCGTCAGTTCGAGCGTGCGTTCGTCATTTTTCCAGGGGATTGTTTGTCAGTGTGAAAACAAGTAAACGGGGGAATCTCATTGGGATGACTAACAGAACTCTCGTGGCATGTCTCTGCAGTGAGTTTCGCTCGTTCATCACCGACAATTCAATCACAGCATACGCATCACCCTAGAATAATAATCGATTCCCTCATTAATTAATTCAATTCCATTCTCCACCGATTACACTAATTAACCTGAAAACGTCAAAATCCCCTCATGAATCCAAACCCCGGAGTATTCTCCCTCCTCCCAGCAGTTGTTCTCACTTACATCTTCAGGGAGAGAGTGGTGAATGTGGCCTTGATGTTTTTTCCCTCGATTTCAGCGAAATCGCAGTACGACTACCACTTGGTGGTGATCGGAGGTGGTTCCGGTGGTCTTGCGGCCGCCAAAGAGGCCGTTGAGCTCGGCGCCACGGCCGCAGTCTTCGATTACGTGACACCGTCCCCTCAGGGCACCAAGTGGGGCCTCGGTGGCACCTGCGTCAACGTCGGATGCATTCCGAAGAAGCTGATGCACCAGGCGGCTCTTCTGGGCGAAGCCATCCACGAGGCCACTGCCTTCGGCTGGCAAGTGCCCGAGCCCAAGGCCATTCCCAACGATTGGGCGGCCCTCACCACTGCTGTCCAGAACCACGTCAAGTCCGTCAACTGGGTGACCAGGGTCGAGCTCAGGAACAAGAAGGTCGACTACATCAATGCCAGTGGCTACTTCAAGGACCCCCACACCGTTGTTGGGGTCGATAAAGCCGGCAAGGAGAAGACTGTCACTGCCGAGAGAATCTTAATCGCTGTGGGCGGGAGGCCCCGGTATCCGGACATCCCTGGGGCACTGGAGTACGGAATCACTAGTGATGATATTTTCAGCCTCGACAGGGCTCCTGGGAAGACACTGGTCGTTGGGGCTGGATGTGAGTGGCAGATCTGGGTTTTCTCATTTGGGGGCTGGGGAAAACATTTTACTGTTTTCCAGGAAATGACACTGAAGTCAATTTTACGGAAAAAGTCTGTGAAACCTCAAGTTTTGCGGAAAATTCATGAAATAGGGGTGGGTGGGGTAAAACGGACACTTTAGACTTTTTTTAAATTATTCGTAACTCAGAAACAAAGTGATCAATTGAGCTCAGTTTAGGCTTGTCACAAAGGGAAAGAATAGTTCTTTGTATTGAAAAGAAAATTATTAAATTTTATCAAGATTTTAACCCCTCATTAATATTTTTAAAAAAGTCAAAAGTGTCCGTTTTACCCCAACCTCCCCTATTTCGTAACTAGCTAATAGTATAGGGGCGGGTGGGGTAAAACGGACACTTTAGACTTTTTTTAAATTATTCGTAACTCAGAAACAAATTGATCAATTGAGCTCAGTTTAGGCTTGTCACAAAGGGAAAGAATAGTGCTTTGTATTGAAAAAGAAAATTATTAAATTTTATCAAGATTTTAACCCCTCATTAATATTTTTAAAAAAGTCAAGTGTCCGTTTTACCCCAACCTCCCCTATTTCGTGACTAGCTAAAAAACATTTGTTCACGAGTTACGAACAATATTTTTCATCACAATGTGGCGGAAATTGGACTTTCTTGTGATGAAAATTCATGATTTTTAAGTGGAAGAACAATGAAAATTCCGAAATTGCACTGAAATTTCAAAAAATTGAAAATTCAAGGACATTTTTGCCTGGATTTTCCTAATTTCCGTTAATTTTCATTGAACAATTTTACTAAAATTTGAAATTTCCATGAATTTTCTACAAAAACCGTGAACTTTCAGTGGCAAAATTCCCTGAAATTTCAATGAAACCGTCACTTGTTTCATGTTTCAAGGATAAAGCCTGGAAACTTCAGTGAAAATTTTTTAACAGTGTATTACGGGGATGAAAAAAATTAATAGAAATACCTATCGAATTCGCTGGAAAATTCTGTTGAAGTTTTGTTGAACTGTTCTATTAATTTTTGACCGATTCTATTGAAATGTTCAATGGAAAATATTCTGTACAAAAAGTCAATAGAATTCAATTTTTCTATGTAACTTATTCTATTCGTTTGATTTTCTTGATCAGAAAAAAAGAAAAATAGAATGAAAAATCTTAAAATTTGAGTCGACCAAATTCTGTAGAAAATGTATGAAAAGAATAAGTAATATAGAAAAATCGAATTCTGTTGACTTTTTCTGTTGAATGTTTTCTATTGAACATGTCAATAGAATCAGCGAAAAACTAATAGAAAGTTTAATAGAAATTCAATAGAATTTTCTAACGAATTCGATAGGTTTTACTGTTAAATTTTTTAGTGCGTGTATTGTTTTATTAGAATAATTATATGAAATTTGGAGCCTCAATCCTCAATTCTCTCGAAAGTAGGAACAGCTGAATTTAACGTTCTCAATGTCGAATTATCCATTTTACTCACTGCCCTAAAGCAATTACCGTAATTATCAACAGCTCGTTGATGACATGTTAATGACGATATTCATTAGATATTGGCCTTGAGTGCGCTGGATTTCTCAATGGTCTCGGTTACGATGCAACGATAATGGTGCGATCGATAGTTCTTCGCGGATTTGATCAACAAATGGCGAATCTTGTAGCTGAGGAAATGGAGCAACGCGGAGTGCATTTTATTCACCAAGCCAAACCCAAGGCTATTGAGAAACAAGAGGACGGAAGATTGTTGGTCCATTGGGTCGACAAAGTGAGTATAAGGAAAAAACAAATCAGCGAATTGGTAAAAAGGTTCAAGTCGACTTGGCTCTCATCTGAGTTTTCGAGGAATATCTCCGAATCTAAGGGAGATACAAAAATTTTTGTAATGACCTTTTTTGTAGAGCGAATTGAGTGCTATAGAAAAGGTCCTGTCAAAAATTTTGCCATCTCCCTTAGATTTCGAGATATTCATTGAAAACTGGTCGATTGTTAAAATTGACTTGCACCGTTTTGCCACTTCGCCATTGAAATCGTCAGGAATGCTCTAATTGCTCAACTAAATGTTATCTCTCGTGTAATAGAATGGAGAAGTGCATCAGGATGTCTACGACACTGTATTATTCGCTATTGGAAGGCAGGCCTTGACGCCGCAATTAAAACTAGACAATGCTGGAGTGAAAGTTGTCCCCGAGACTCTGAAGATTGACACCGTAAACGAACAAACCAATGTGGAGAATATTTACGCTGTTGGAGATGTTCTTCACGTGAGTTGCATCCCCACACGTGTGAAAAAATTCAATAAAAAATCTAGCGAATTCGCTAGAAAATTCTATTGTAATTCTATTTGTTCTTTGCGCTGATTTTATTAGATATTCGATAAGAAAAAGTCAATAGATTTCGAATTTCTGTTCGAATTTTTCTCCGGAGATATTTTCTCAAGAGAAAAATTTGAAAAAAATTTTTTAATTAAAATTTTTTTATAGAAATTATTGGGCACAAATTTTCCAAGTTTTTCCGCTGGATTTTACTTTGATTTTCATTACAGAATGCGAGTGGAAAAAACTTTCCAGTAGAATTCCTATAGAATTCCAACAGAATTTTCTACGAATTCGTCAGATTTTCTATTGAATTTTTTCATGCGTGCATCACTTTATAAATAATTATGCTCCAAGTACAGTAAAATTTTTGTTCGAAATACTACACGATTTCCATTTTTCATTTTCCACTCATCATTTGGATATCCCTCATGTAAAACACGAATTTGTCAAAATAACAATTTAGAATCTCCGAATAGGGTAGTTTATTAATCGGGGCCTGCGAGGTAAAATTGAGGCTTTCATTAATGTTTTTGTTTTCATAAAAATTGGGTTGAACTTTGTTTTTTCTCCATTTCCCCAGTACGTGATTGTTCTGAAGTGCGTGGGATTTAAGAGTTTCTCACGAGTATTTGAAAGTAATTTACAACGTTGTTAACGCCTAGCTAAAGTGTTTTCGTCGTTTTCTCGAACTTGAAAGTAAATTAGAATGCGATTTGAGAGATTTGAAAATTCTATTTTTGTTTTTCAAAATAAATTCATGAATAAAAATGTTGATATGCACCAAAGTCCTATTATTAGTTTTCCATCGTGATCCATATTCTATTATTAATTACCGTGGAAATGAGAATAATTATCAAACTTTTATCACTTCAGAAACGACCAGAGCTCACCCCAGTGGCCATTCACGCTGGAAAACTGCTGGCAAGACGGCTATTTGGCAATTCTGAGGAGAAAATGGACTACACCAATGTGGCCACGACTGTTTTCAGCCCTCTAGAGTACGGATGCGTGGGACTGGGTGAGGAGCAGGCACTTGCCGTCCACGGAGAGGACAACATTGAAGTCTACCATGCCTTCTACAAGCCAACAGAGTTTTTCATTCCACAAAAAAATATGTCACACTGTTACGTCAAAGTCGTTGCACTCAAGGGAAATGATCAGAGGATTCTTGGGATGCATTTTATAGGGCCACATGCTGGCGAAGTCATCCAAGGCTTCTCCGCAGCTATGAAGTGAGTGAAAAATCGGGCATTTTCATTCGTCGAATCAATCGATCCCTCCATTGACGTAATAAATATTAAACCAAATGTTTTTTCTCCTTTGCAGATGCAACATTACATTCCCACAACTGAAATCAACAGTCGGAATTCATCCAACGAGTGCCGAAGAGTTCACTCGAGTTTTTATAACGAAAAGCTCGGGGCTGGATCCAACCCCCCAGAGCTGCTGCAGCTAGGAAAATAACAGATGCAAATGAGTTTCAATAAATTTCTTTTCTCATTAAAACCGTCACAAAAAGTATTGAAACGAAATTCTTTATTTTGTAAAATTAAAGATTTTGTCTTAACTTTTTTTCTTTCTCTCTCTCTCTCTCTCTCTTTCGCAGAATTTTCACAGAATTGCTGTTATATATTTTTTATATGCATTGCGTCTTTAGAAATGTACAATAGTTGTTGAGTAGACGGGGGAGAAGGCTAAAGTCACTGTCGAGGGGATGAAAAATTTCTGTTACATCAGGTTTACCATTCTCCTGTACGAGAATTTTAGCTTTCATCTGTATTACTATCTTACACCTTTATTACAAATTTGAGAATAATAAAACCTAATGTCATTATAAATTTCAATTTATTTTAGTGGTTAAAATTTAAATAGGTACTATGATTCTTTCCTCAATCAGTTATTACCGAAAATCATGATGAAATTTGTCTATGTACACGCAAACAACTATGTTCTCTCCATAAAACTAAAACCAAGAGTAATAGAATAAAACGTGAAATTTGTGCTAAACATTTTAATTCTAAACAGTGAATTACGAATCAATGAAAATCAATAGGGTGAAAAAAATAACACTGCCAGCAGTGTAGACAGTACATAACTCAAGAGCCAAATGAAAAAAATTAAATATACTTTGCTTATAATGTAAAAATTCAAATTCAATCGAGGATCAAAGTGTTTAATATATAATTTCGATGAGAATAAGAACAAGTACAAACAAAAAAGGCTGTTTTTCTATCCATTTCTTTTCATTTCGTTTTAGTCATATTTTTGTTTTCTTTATACATGAGAATAAAACTAAAAATTCATCTCAAATCTTGGCATAGTAAATTCTACAATCAATTATCAATATTTACACATATATACAAACATTGTTTTACGATTTGAGAGATATACATATCTATATGTACTCGATAAAAAAAATGGAATTGGTTTAAACGAATTTGTTCATTAACTAAAAAAAGGAGAGGGCGTGGGGATGGACTAAAATATGAAATCGAATATCTCCGGTAGAACTACCAACGAAAAAAAAAACATCTTGATCTCTTTAAATTTGTTTAAACGAGAATGGGCAAACATCAGTCAATGAAATCGTCATTTTTAAGTGTAGGATCGTCCTTCCGACAATCCGGACAGTACCACTTGCCCTTGGGCGGTACCATAATCCCCACACACTCAAAATGAAACCACTCAATCTTACAATGACCTCCATCACAGGCAATCATCTCCGAAACTTCGTCATAAGGACACTGACAATAGCAATAAAGATGTTTTTTATCTCCACTGACAGCTGGCCCTGGAATAGTGAAATTATTCTCCAATCTCTTGTCGTGTTGCTGACTATCAGTGGACGGCTGTGGAGTCGCTGGTTCAGCCTCAGACCCACTGGACTCGCTACTGGTATCCACTCCCCCTTCAGTATCTGTGACAGATGCACCAAGTGTACTGGGTGCTGTTTCATTGTTATAAACCACAAAATTTGCCTGCTGTTCGGCATTATACCATTTTGATTGAAGTGGTGGACCAAAATTTTGCTTGATCGTTATTGTTGGCACATACTGATGTCCCTGCTGAGCCCCCTGACTCCCCACCATCCCAGGATTGCTCTCAATACGCCGCCACTTTGGATACTGATTCTGCTGTTCATCATCACTGGAGTCCCCATAGAATTTCTTTGGAATACGTTTCCTCTTGGAGGCCCTCTTGCTCTCGCTCCCGGGGGTTTCAGTCCCCGACGCACCAGAGGCCCCGGAATATCCCCCCGACGGTTGACTCGTCTGAACAGCCGTCGAATTATTCACCGAATACTCAGACTGACCAGCTGCATTCACCGGTGGCACCACCGCAGAGAACCGTATCTTAGGATGTTTCTGACGATTGAATTTCTGCTTTGGAATGTTTATCTTAATCGGAGGCTCCACGTGAGTCCCACCAGCCACCTGAGGCCCCGGATACTTCGGTCGTCTCCCCCTGGTGCCTCGGGCCCCCCTCGCTGCCCTCGCCCCCCTCCTGCTCTCACTCGTCTTCTTCCTCTTCTTGACTTTAATTTTTTTTCTACTACTCGTCTGACTCTCAATGTCCAGGGCATTCTCCATTACCCCATTCTTCACAGTGGACGACGACTCCGACGGCGCTGCCACATTAGCCAGCTGCAGCAGTTGATTTCTCTTCTCCGCCAGCAATTTATTCGCCAACTCCTGAGGGTGCTCGTCGTAAAAGTCCTCGTCAGTCTCCGTTTCATCGGTCTCCAGGTCAGACTCTCGCATCACATTGCGTCTCTCTGGTGGCACCACTGGTGCAGGTGAAATCGAGGGATAGACTGGCAATTCGTACTGCTCTTGGACGTCGACCACATTGGGCTCCTCGATCGTGTGAGCGTTTATCACCTCCTCATCAGCATTGACATCATTAACAGCGCTGCTGGCTCCCTCATTCTCACCGATCCCCTCCTTCGGGCGTTTGTGCTGACTATTTTTCCCCCTTTTGCGCTCCCTCTTTCGCCCCTCCGACTTCTTGGGCGACGACTCCGAGGCCGAGCTGTCAGAGTCCGAGGAACTGCTCGATGAAGACGAAGAGTCCGACGACGAACTGCTGCAACTGCAGTTGGTCCCACAGGAGCAACTGCTCGAGTCCGAATCACTCGACGAGTCGCTCGACGACGAATTGCTGTTCCTCTTCTTCGGCGATTTCTCCTTTTTCCTCTCAGCATCACTCTCCACAGCAGCTGGGATCGACACCTCGTTCACCTCGTTAATCGTCACTTCAGTGAGAAATGCCTGATCCGCCTCATTCACACTGTCAGTTATGGTCACGCCATTCTCCTCTAGATCCACAGTTTTCGGGGAATTCTGGACCTCCTCTGGCTCCTCCTCAATCTTCGAGTCACCGTAGACAACGCAGTAGTCGTGATCCGCTGTTATTATGCTCACAAGCTCCCTCTGCTTGGCCTCGATGATCTTCTCCTCACTCTTGGCCAACTCCTCGAGATTAGTCTCAGTCGTCGTAGCGTAGAACTTGAAATTATCCCAAATTCCGTTCATTATGTCGACCTGCTGCTCCTGGTGCTCGTCAATGGGCTCTGATTCATCGACACCTTTATCGTCTTTCGTCTCCTCAATGCCATCAGCTTCCTCCTTCCTCTCATTTCTGCTCACCCCCTCTGACTTATCGTTCTCGTCATCATCAGAATCACTGTCCGACGACAGATTCAGGGGTGGCAAATCGTAGACATCCACGACTTTTCGTACAGGTTCAGACCTTTGAGATTCAGAATGGAGATCAGGTGTTCCTGAAGGCGTGCCAGTGGGGCTGGCCCCAGACCCCTGATTTTGTGATGCACTCGTTGGACCTGAAGCCCCTGTCATTGTACTCTCATTCCCCGAGCTCTCAGCCCCACTTTTCTGATGAAGACCCTCAGCAAGTCCCTCCTCCTGCAGCCCATTGGCATCCCCATTATTCCCACAATTGTCATCGACCTCTGCTGGTGGCTCTGGGGGCTCTGGTGGAGGCCTGTGCACCTCCTCTTCATGCCTCATCAACAACTTTTTAGATATAAATTTCTGATTGCAATCGGCACAGGTGTAGGGCTCCTCCTTTGAGTGCAGCCTCTTGTGGACCTTGAGGGCAACAGCCCTGGAGAAACTGACGTTGCACTCCTCGCAGATGAAAGCACTTGGGGGAATGCAAAAGTGGTATATGTGAGGCCACTTTTTCTGCAGGCATTTCTTACACAAAACGCTCTCAGTCCCGTGTTTCCAGAACAGGTGTTTCGTAATGTCCGGTTTATTCCTGTAGGCAATGCCACACCTGTAGCAGAGATGCTGGAGTTTGTGCTTCCACACGTGATTGGACAGCCTCTGCTGATTGCCATTCAGCTCGAGGCAAACGTCGCAGGCGTGATGACGTTTTCGGAGGTGAACCATCAGCCTGAATGCCGAGGGCAGAGGATCAATAGTGCAAATGCAGCATCGATACTTAATACTTGGATTTAAAATTGATGAAGTTAATGATTGAGTCGACATGTCAGTCTCTGTCGCTGAGTAAATGCCAGGACACAGATGACACAGTAATTCACTGTAACTGTAGAACGTTGATTTACACATAACACATATTAATATTGTTTTCTGATGCATCTTACGATTGTGCAAGTAGAGGTCCTTGTGTATGTGAGAGACAACCCGACAGTTGAAGCACTCGTACATGCGAATTGTGGGTACGTTGTAGGTGCCAATGTCACTGTCGTAACTGTCGGCATTGAGGTAATGGCCATCGAGTTGGTCGATGGATTTCCTCACCCTGTTGACAAACTGCTCGGCTTGGATTATGATGGCAGGGTGTTGGGGCTGAAATCTGTGCTCAGCCAGCATGTGGAGGGCCAGCTGTTTGGCGTTGACAGCGATGTGCCTGGCGTGATTGCAGTAGACGCAGGTGGGGCTGGCAGCCTCGATGCAGCCCTTCAGCAGATCCACCACTGGCAGACTCTCCAGGAGATCGTTGACATTAAGGTCGATCGTAGGTACATCCTCACCAGCCAGTTGAATGTTGTCTCTGCCTCCTGCTACTCCAGCATTTCCCTCGAAATTTCCGCTATTTAATTTGGCTGACTCTTCCCTCTCCTGGATCGCCTCCCTCTGGCCCTCGGGGAGCCCAGGCTCCTCCACGCTCTGACTCAAAGGATTCTCTGCATTATCACTAACATCAGCAACCCCATCCCCCAATTCGTTGAAACCCTCTGAGGGCTCCACGTCCTCTCGAGTCCTCTTTATCTCGTCACTCAGGGCCACTGTCAACCTGTCGTTGTCAGAGTCACTCTCATTATTATTATCCTCGGATTCGTCAACACCATTCATGTTCGGAGTGCTGACGGAGTAGTGAGAATTTTTATTTGTACAAATTTTAATCACCAGGCTACCTTTGGTCCTATTAACTCTACTGACTGACATCGGGGTTGACTCCAGTTTCTTGAGGCTCTCCTCGTCATTCTCGTTATTCTCGTAGTCGTCAACATCGTCCGAGGAGGATTCGTCTCTTCTGTCGAGGTCGTGGGGGGCCTCCTCACGTGGATTTGACTCGTCGATCAGCATCTCTTGATCACTGGGCTCGATTAATCTGTCCCCTGGGCAATCTCTGCTGAATTTCTCAGACTCCAGTTGCTCAGGGGCCTCGAAACGCGATACCCTCATTATGGTCTCCGTCACACTGTCCCAATTATTTCTACTCTCCTCTCGACTCTCGACCTCCTGCACTGACTCCTTATGTTTATCGCCAATAATTTCGGCTTCTAGGGGGGCAGGGCGGGGAGAACTCTCTTCGGGATCCTGGGAGAGCTTGGAGACCTGCAGAATAGTCTCGGCGACAGTGTCCCTCGACAAACAGGGCTCCACCGGTTTCTCCACACTCTGGGGAATTTCTGGAGTACAAACATCACTGGAAACCGTGGGTTCACTGGGCGCAGAGTCCAGGGATTTTCTCTCCGTCTTGAGGGTCATTTTTCTCTCGTAAAGCTGCGTCAATTTTTTCTGGTACGACGTCAGCATGTGCTTCTCACTCCTCTTCACTCGGTGGTTTTTGGATCTAGCAATCAGCCCCTTAGAGCCTGTCTTCACCCCACTCTTGCCAGAATTACTCACCTCCGAGTGACGCTGGCACGTCACAGCGTGCGATCCAACGTGTCGACAGACCATGCAAACCTCCTCCTCGGGGGATTTATCTCCACTCGGGGACGTGGGGCAAAAGTGATTATAAAAATTATCAGTTTCAGAGAACACTTTCTCGCAGGAGCAGCAGATTAAATAGCAGGAGCCCTTGAAGGCCTTGTAAAAATCCTCAACTGAGCTGAATGCCTTCTCCGTTACACTGTGCTTCTTCTCGAGGTGATGGGACAACCTCTCGGCCTGCCCAAACATTCCCAAGCAGAACAGGCAAATGTGTCGTTTGTGAATGTCCCTCATGTGGAGAAAGAGATTCCAATTTTCAAAATATGTTCCACAAGCTGCGCACAGATAAACTTTTCTCGTTATCCTGAAGTTATTCGTTATTTTCGAGGTACTAGGGTGATTATCACTGGGACTTGGTGTGGGGGATGTCTCTGGTGTGCCAACAGCCACTTGTGACTGGCACAAACACTCGTCTCTCCCCTGATTTCGATGACTATTGGTGGCATTGCACTTTGAGCATTTATTGTACTTGGCTGCTGGCTGGAGACCCAAATACTGAGCATACTCAGTTATTTTTCCTCTCCTAGAGTTTGGCCCCCTCCTCTCGTCACTGGCAGTCTCTCCGGGCTCCTCTGCTGGCTTCTCCTGTATTATTCGCTTCTTGAATCCTTTAAACACTGGATGTGACACTGGATTTGGCAGTCGCGTTGGAAAATTCTCGGGGTAAATTTCCTCCTCCTCTTCCTCCTCGTCGTCATCACCAACTACCTCACCCTTCTCCTCCTCTTTCTCATCGTCAGACAAGTCCGATCGCTCGCTCGTTGAATTGTGATGGATTTTCAATGATTCACTGTCTGTTAGCACTTGTGATTCTGCATTTGAACCCTCACCGTCATCATCTTCCATAATAAACGTCGATCCAACAACTTCTGGAGTATCTGGCCACAAACAAACAAATTCAATTGATTAGAATCTCAGCGAGGGGGAGGAGAAAAATTGAAACAAAGGAGGGATCGTGTCTCGCTCATTTTTTGTCAGCCCACACGTATTACAGGATTTTTTATCGTTCACGGATTATTCTCGAGCTCCAACGAACGAGGAAAATTGAACGTTTCACTGGCCCAGTCGTCGTGAGGAGGGGGCGAAGCTTGGAGACTCCACGTTTTCACGTTTTTTTTTTTCGTACGCGATTGCGGTATATAAAAATGCCCGGGTAAGCCACTGGAGGCTTTTCATCAGACTCTGGCGTAAAACACTTCTTTCATTCAGTGGCGTCACTACTTACCCTCAATGCAATGATCAATTCGGCTGGAATTGTGGTGGAATAATTTGTTGACGGCGGTAATGAATGTGACGAGGCCTTCGTTGCTGTGAGAACAGTGCACGTTTGAAGAGCGATTAGTACCGTCCCGGATTATCCCTGGCGACTGCTTCGTCGCGCTCCGCGCCGAAAAGGTTAGTAAAATGGCGTCATATCATCGGAGGGGTTTCGTTTCTTTTTCCATCCACTGTAGACCATTTCCACAGTGGGCCACGGTCTAGTGTGAATAGATGGAACAACTGAACACGAGAGCAGTGACCCATTAGTACATTTACCCATTGACACTCTGGACAGGGAGACCTGCGATCGGTCAGTGTCGGTAGAGTAGGGTTTTACTTATTTCTATTCACGATCGGTCACAGTTGTTATTGTTATTCTACGTCCAGAGGTGGCAGCAGTCACTCCATTGACGAACAAAATCGTGAAATAGTATATGTATTTCGTCATTGGGCCGTAATAGTATATTTCGTAACGAGTGCAAAAAAGTGTTTTTTGGAGCTGTGACGAAAAGTGAATTTCCGCCACATTGTGATGAAAAATATTGTTCGTAACTCGTGAAAAAATGTTTTTTTGCATTCGTTACGAAATACATATTTCGCAACGAGTGCAAAAAAGTGTTTTTTGGAGCTGTGACGAAAAGTGAATTTCCGCCACATTGTGATGAAAAATATTGTTCGTAACTCGTGAAAAAATGTTTTTTTGCATTCGTTACGAAATACATATTTCGCAACGAGTGCAAAAAAGTGTTTTTTGGCGAGTGTGAGGTTTATATCACGGGCCGAAGGCGAGTGATATAATCTCACGAGCTAAAAAACATTTTTTCACGAGTTACGAACAATATTTTTCATCACAATGTGGCGGAAATTGGACTTTTAGGCACGCGGAGCGTGCCGAAAAGTTCACTTTTCGTCACAGCGTGATGAAAAAAAAGTTATGATTTGCTATCTATAGAAAGAGAAAAAAGGCACAACAGGGCTGTGATTCTACTGACACTGCTTGACCGATCGCAGGTCTCCTCGGCTACTTTATGGAAATGGGCAAATCTGGTATTATGGAAAACTGCTGTTCCATCCCATTCTCACTAGGCCGTGGGCTACTGTGGAAACGGACTACTGCGAAAAGAGAACCCCCCATACCATCGCGTGAGGCGATGACTTGGTACCGCATGAAGAGGGTCAAGTGGGGGGAATATTTTATAGACAATCTGCAGCGAGTGCTTACCGACCGATTATTTTTCCAACATTCAAATTTTCGGACTGCCCTTCACCCCGAAGAAATAAAGCATTAACGCGCGATTAAAATTGACACGAATAAACTTCGCGTAGGGGCGGGTGGGGTAAAATGGACACTTTAGACTTTTTTAAAATTATTCATAACTCAGAAACAAATTCACCAATTGAGTTCAGTTTAGGCTCGTCACAAAGGGAAAGAATTGTCCTTTGTATTGAAAAAAAAATTATTAAATTTCATCGACATTTCAACCCCCCATTAACATTTTAAAAAACTTCAAAAGTGCCCGTTTTACCCCAACCTCCCCTAACTGTGCACTGACATTTACATTTTTTACTTTTGCACGAAAAAAAAAAAATTCTTCAGAAAACGAAAAACGGAGAGTCGTCTTAAAAAAAACGTTTCCAAAATGAGGAAATTCTCAGGAGGATAACAATCTCCCGTCCTGTGTCTCGGAGATTTTCTCATCCCCTCTGTCTTCCGGAACTCGCACACATGTGAATTACATGTGTGCGTGCTCAAGAGTGTAGCGTCGATCGCGAAAGCATACAAAACCAGCGACAACTCGATAAAGTTGGCAAATCACTCATAAAAACCCTCCCCACTGGAAACAACAATTGTTGCTGTCAAATATCTTGCAAAAGCCCCGGTTCGACTAAAATGCCCACGACAATTTCACTCATCCCCGAGTAAAAATTCCCCTTCAAGTACATCAAGCAGTTCCAAGTGAGGTTAAAGTGTGACTAACGAGTGGGAACTAGTACTAGAAATAGATTTTAAACGAACCATCGCTGTCGCCTATTCAGCCGGTCTATCAGAGTGAAGATAATCCCAAAAAATCAGGATAAACAATAACCAAGGAAATAAGATTTTTCATAAAAACGGGGCCAGCCGAGTTCTTGTTCTGTGCTGCTGCCTATACCGTTCGTTGTCATTTGAAAACGGAAGCCATCTTGTGGCTGAGTCTCCCATATTATAATCTCAAAGGGGGAACCAAAGAGAATTCACCATCCCGAGCTGATAAATAATCACACAACTGATTAAAAACAATCAAAATAATCCCAAAAACCAGTCTGTCAACACTATAACTGTCTAATTCGGACTATGTATAAATCATTTGGCCATATGTTTACATAGCCATGGCTGCGACGAGAAAGTTGCAAGGTAAAATTCATTTATCCATCTACAGCGTGTTTACATTTGCCCAAAATTCATATTCCACTCCACTTCATTGTAGTGTTTAATCACAATTAACGAGGGCTCTGTTTTTTCCCCTCTACTGTCACCAATTTTCATGCAGCAATGTTCAATGTTTGTGTTAGATTTGTATATTTATTTGTCGAGGGGTTAAACTGTGTTGTTTAGTGAAAACTGAGGCCAAAGTATTTGACAAAAATCATTGTTATCAATGTGAAAAGCACCGAGGAGTCCACACGTTCGTCTTTATAACGTGAATTTTATTCCAAAGGATTTGAATATTAAAGCCAGCAGTGATTAGTTTAGTTAACCAATAAATTTTTGGCTGCTCTCATAGGTGAAATAGACCGGTGCCTTAAAAAAGTGACCGAGGGTGTTGATACATTCGAGGATATTTGGCAAAAGGTTCACAATGCGACAAACAGCAATCAGAAAGAAAAATACGAGGCCGATCTCAAGAAGGAGATCAAAAAATTACAGAGGTTACGTGATCAAATCAAGAGTTGGATTGCCTCGGGGGAAATTAAGGACAAAAGCACATTACTCGACTACAGAAAGTTGATTGAAACGGTTCGTTAATTGACAAAAATATTTAACTCATGCTTTGTTATGTGCCCTCGATTGATGGAAAATTTTTGGAAAAATAAACAGCAAATGGAGAGATTCAAAGTTGTCGAGAGGGAAACTAAGACAAAGGCCTACTCTAAGGAGGGCCTTGGAGCAGCTCAGAAACTCGATCCAGCGCAGAAGGAGCGAGAGGAAGTTAGCAATTGGCTTGCTAACTCCATTGACGCTTTGAATCTGCAGGTAATTTACCTTTTGGGGAGAGGACAGTAAAATGGGTAAACTGAACCTCTCTGATTATTCAGCCTGGTTTATTCTGCCCGACTGTCCTCAATCCATCCCACCAACCGCGAGACAAGTCTTTACTTGACTTTAAATGTCTTTTCAGCTGGACACATTTGAATCCGAAATAGAGTCCCTCCTTGCTGGTAAGAAAAAACGACTGGACAAGGATAAACAGGATAGAATGGATGAGTTGAAGGGTAAATTGGAGAAGCATCGATATCACATTCGTAAATTGGAAACCCTACTGAGAATGTTGGACAATATGTCGGTGGAAGTCAATACAGTATGTGACGATAATTATCAGCATTATTATTAATCTCTCTCCCCCCCAGTGAAAGCAGTGCCCAATCTAATGGTGAAAACTTCTCCCATCGTTATTTAGATAAAAAGGATAAAGGACGATGTCGAGTATTACATTGAGTCATCTCAAGAGCCAGATTTCGAGGAGAATGAGTACATTTACGACGATATCATTGGTCTTGACGAGGTGGAGTTGTCGGGTGTGGGCATTCCATCATCAGCAACGACTGACAGTAATAACAGTAATGAAACTGGCGGTACGCCTACATCGACGAATTCAGGAACATCGCCAATCCCATCACCACCACTGAGTTCAACGATGCACAATCATTCGAGTGATAGTTCAACCGATACGGATAAAAAGACGAAAGTATGAATAAAAATCCTTGATCCATAGTATTTACCCTAGAACAGAGAAACCAAAAAAAACACTTGATCTTAATTCATCAAAGGATGAATTGTTACAGCCGGTGAAGCCAACAGCAGTCCGACCCCTTCTGAATTCGTCTCAGACGAGCATTCCAGCAGCAGGACCCACTGCCATCCAGAAACCACCAATGTTAACAAGCAGCACACCAAGCAAAATCATTCCCATGACATCGAGCCACAGTTCACCAATATCAACAACATCAAATCACGTGTCAACGAGTAACGCCGGTAATTTTGCAACGGTTGCTGCATCGCACACCAATTCTCAAGCAATTCACTCTACCTCCACTAAAATTTCATGTGCGTACCACACTCATCGTAACCCCTCCTCTCATTTCATTTAACAACATAATTATTCACTAGGCTATAAGAGGGCGTTCAGAACCCCAAGGCCCTGATAATTGATGAAGTATCTCTGACTTTAGCCCACAGCAGCGAGAACGGCTTGTCCTGTTTGATGACAACGAGCACACCAACGTCGTCGCAGAGCCTCTCCCAGGTGCAGTCCCAAATTCAACTGCAGACGAGTCAACAGCAGATTCAGGCCTCGATCGCTCCGATACAGCCACCAGTCCAGTCACCCCCACAGTCCCAGGCGCCCGTTCAGCCTCAGGCCATCCAACCAGTTCAGCATGTGCAGCATCAACCCTCGACGCCTCAACCCATGCCCCAGATCCTTCAGAACTCATCCCAAGTCGCACAGCAACAGCAGCAGCAACAACAACAGCAGCAACAGCAGCAGCAACAACAACAGCAGCAGCAGCAACAGGTTCCAGTGTCTCAAAACCCATCACACCAGATCTCCAATCCCTCGATACCAGTCTCCACGACGACAATACCAACGGGTCTCGTCCTCGTTCACAATCAACAGAGTCAAAACCACAACAGCACGACCAGCGATGATATGACGACCCCAGTGCATCCCGCAGCATCACCCCAATCATCAATGAGCAGCAGATCATCGCCAATTCCGGCCAATTCGTGTTCACCAGCGCCATCCACTGCCAATGGACTGATTTCAAAGATTCCTGATGGCATGACATCGTTGAAAATCATCGCACAGAATGCCATTGATCGGGCTGGACTGGAAATACCACCGGGGGAGACGAGTAGAAATATTTTCGACAGTTCTAAGACTAATACAGCCACCTCTGAGGCGCATATCCCTCCTCTCCTTGGGGTCGCACCACTGGGTCCTGTTCCATTGCAGAAGGAACATCAACTGCAGTTCCAGATGATGGAGGCTGCCTACTATCACATGCCGCATCCCTCGGATTCCGAGAGACTCAGGTCGTATTTGCCCAGGAACTTGTGCCAGACACCACCGTATTACCAGCAGGTGACAATGATTTTTAGTTATGCCAAAGGCCATTGTGATAATTTGAGAGAATTTTCCATCTTCGAGGTAGTTTTCCGTATTTTTTCAATTCATTTGATCGAAATGGGATAACAAAATAGGAATTTGAGGGTATTTTTGAAGGATTTAAGAAAAATAGGCCATTTTAAGGCTTTCCGCAAACATTGAGAAATGAACTTCTTTGTTTTTTTGGGAAGGACTTCCATTTGGAATTTTTTGCATTCCCTCTCGTCCTCATTCTTCTCAGCCTTCAATTACTTGAAAAAAATTGACATTGTGAAATTTGGAAATTTTTCTTGTCGATAGTGATATAATTTTTCACCTTCGATTTCAATTCTTTTGTATTTTTTGGATCCAGTCAATCGAAATGCAACAATATAAAACGAATCTATTGGTATTTTTACAGTATGAGAAAAGAATAGGGAAATAATGAAAAGTGAACTTGCTTATCACAAAAAAAATGTATTCAAATTTATCTCATTATTCAATGGAAAGTGCTCTCTTTACATATTCAATACTGCAACATGAGAGCGAATAATATAATTGAATTGTTATGAACAGAAATATAAGATGAGAAAATGGAATTCAATGAAGAAACACGGATTTAATCTAAAATAAAACAGATGAAATTTATAAAAAAATATAAGAAATGTAAAATAATTTAATCTATCGCTAGTTTATTCATTACTGATGAATCTTTAAATAACGAGAAGTAATTCAATTGATTTGTCTCGCCAGGTTCCTCTACCGCATTCAGATACCGTTGAATTTTTTCAACGACTATCGACAGAAACCCTATTCTTCATATTTTACTACATGGAGGGATCGAAGGGACAATATTTGGCAGCCAAAGCATTGAAAAAGCAATCGTGGAGGTTTCACACTAAATACATGATGTGGTTCCAGAGGCACGAAGAGCCCAAAGTAATTAACGAGGAATATGAGCAGGTGAGTAACCGGAAATTAGGTGTCACGACTAAATAACTTTGCAAAAATGACTTCGGAAAAATAACTTGAAAAAAAAACTTCAGAAAAAATTATTTCAACCATTATCAACTTCTACAAAATTGATTGAGACGATATCCACAAACAGATGAGCCAATTTGGGATTGTTAACATCCCCTAAAAAAGTCCCTAGGATTGATGAGAAAAATATTCGGCTACATAAATTCAGAATTGCTGAAATGTTCATAAGTAAAAATTCCATTATTGATGATAAATTCTGTTGATTTGTGTGAGAAAAAAATTTGTAAATCCATTGAGCATTGAGAATATTTCGGTATTTGATAGAATGAAAATAATTTTGTGTGAATCATTTTTTCCTGAAATTTTTTTTTCCAAGTTAGTTGTGGAGGGGGAAATTCTCCCTTTCCCCAAAAATGTTCAATAAATAATGATTTTTATTCGGTAATAGGGTACATACATCTACTTTGATTATGAAAAATGGGGACAACGCAAGAAGGAAGGCTTCACTTTTGAGTACAAGTACTTAGAAGACAGAGATCTTAATTGAACGAAGTGGAAAAACATTTGCCAAGGAGGTGTCCAGCATAAAAACAACACTGCACTAATTCTGTATCGGTATTAAACCAAGAGAACACGCGAACTCCAAAAGTCGTTAGAGAAACAGTAAAAAAAATCACAGTGGAGAGAAGAAAATTGTTATTTTCTAGAACTGCATATATTTTTCATCGTACGAATAATTTATTCGTTGAACAATTGGGATTTATTCCGATACAAAAAATCATCCTCGTGTGTGTAAACAACTGAATTCTTCAATGCTTTGGTAATTTCCCGGGGTGTCATGGACAAAACATTATTTTCACTTTTATTTTTCATGAGATAGGAAAGAACGAGGATTGAAGAGATGATTAGAATGAAGACAGACGGAATTAAGACGACGACGATGACGAAATTGAAACGAAGAAAGTGCGTACTTGGAGCCATAAAATGGAGATGATAGCGGAGAAAAAAAATTTAAACACCGCGAAACGACAGTTTACGATTAAAGGAGAGCGGTGTGTGATAAAAACAAAAAAAATGAGATGAATGAAGAAGAACATGAAATAACAATGATGAATAAAAGGTATATACTCGCTGGCGACTGACTCTGTAATACCAGTACAAAATACATATGAGGTGCGACCGAACCCACCGGTTATTGTTTTTTTTTGTTTTTTTTTCTTCACTAAAATGAAAAATCACAATTTCAGGGAGAAAGAAATTGGAAAAAATAAGGGTGGTGGGAACTCAACTCATTGCTATGTGGTTATGTCTTTAAAAAAAGTGAATAGATAATAAGTAGCCTTTTTGTATAAAGTTTAATTAAATCCTTTCAATTGATGAAAAATGAAATTTACTGTACAGAATGTGTAGAAATAGTTGATAATATTATTATGGAATATACACATCATTTTATTTCTCAGAAAAAAACTAAAAACATTTATTTTCCACCTGAACGAATTGATTTGTTGAGAGTGAATCTTGAAAAATTGTAAAGTTAAATTTTTAGGATTTTAAAATTCAAGACCAGTTATTTTTTGATAATTTTCTTTCTGTCATTCTCGTGTACATAAAATACTTAAGAGTCTCGAATCACGTTTATTTAAAATGTAAAAGTATTTCTCATATGTTTAATTTTTTCTAACTTCATTTTGTGATATTTTGATCTTTTTTCTTTTAATTATTTACGTTTACCCTTGAATTTAGATTTTACACGTTTACGTACACCAGATGATTGTTCTGTGTCATCCTCGTCGTCGGCATTCTGTCCCTTCTTACGTTTCCCCGATTTTTTTGCATCTTCCATATCCTTCATCTCCTAAAAATGAGAGAAAACTTTTAAAATAATATTTGACGTAGTGGATAAGAAGGAAATAAATGAATTTTGAAGATAATAAATACCATTTTGACTATCCTCTGAGCCTCTGCCACTCTCTCCTGCAGCAGCATGACCTCCTCCTCTTCGGTATTGTAAAGGGGCAGAGTCTTGGATATCAATTGCTCTATTCTCTGATACAACTCAACGTCGTATTGAGTAACGAATGTTATCGAACGCCCGGAGCGTCCTGCACGCGCAGTCCTTCCAACTCGGTGGATGTAGTCCTTGCTGTGCGTTGGAATATCGAAATTTATCACTACATCCACGTGAGGGATGTCCAAACCCCTGGAAAATGGCAGTAATGCGTCCTTTGATGACAAATTCAAGAAGAAAATGGGAGAGAAATGTCTGATGGCCTTTACCTGCTGGCAACATCAGTCGAAATGAGAATAGACCTGTTCTTCGCCTTGAACTTTGTCAAAGCAGCCAATCTTTTGTTCTGCGTCATCTGCCCGTGCAGTGGAACAGCCATGAATCCCAAACTACGAAGCAGTAGTGCTGTGCGTACTGTGTTGTTGCAGGTACCACAGAAAATCATGAAGCTGTTCCCTGCGAGCTCATTGAGAATGTGAACTAGATAAACATCCTGTGAAATTGAGAAAATAAATGGTATTGAAATTGAAGCATGTACACTGAGAGAAAAACGACAAAGTTCTCAAGCAGGCCTTACTTCTGTCAAGAAAATAGTTTTTTGAAAATTATCAAAAAAGGATTTTTTGTGCCAAACATACAGAGAGTGCGCCGGAGTGAAAAATTTTTGTCGCTAAAATAGATTTAGTAGTTGAAAAAAAATTGCATTCTCTGTACACGCAAGAAATGGAAGTTCTAGCACTACTCCTTCGTTATTCGATACTCCCAGACGTATTTTGCTCCCGAAAAATCTTTGTTTTATGCGAAACAAGGAATAGTAGTTTTTCGTTTCGGCTGTCTAATAATCACAGACAACAAATGAACCCTTAAATGAAACAATAATAATGATATGATAGCTCTTGTAACTTGGGGATAAAATATTTGTTGATAAATTTTCCTCTGCATGAGATATTTTCATTCTGAGAAGGCACCGTCTGGTGTGAATTATCCGCCTCTCGAGCCAAATATTTCGTTGCTGTCGAAAGCAGAACAATTATTCATGTTCGAGACTTTCAAATTCGAACCAAACAAATTCTTTTTTGGCAATTTTAAACTGGCGATTTTGTTGGCTCAAACAAGACTTGTTTGACAATGTGTTTGTTTTTCTCTCAGAGTAGGTTTAAATAGAGGTTTGTTAAATTAATGAGGCGATGAATGAAACAATTGAGAGACGCCAACTCCAGAGAGGTTCAGAGGGAAGAGAAGAATGTAAATAATAGAATACAATTGGAGAAATTGCAGATTCGTCACGATACTTTCATTAAAAATTCCAGTGAAATGAGCTTACCTTGAATTTCGTGGGGATGAATATGTAGTATTGCTGCAATTTCTCCACCGTTTGGTACTTCGTCGACACCTCGACCTTCACAGGATTCCTCAGCGATGCCCTCTGCAACTTCTGAACCTTTTTCGTCATTGTGGCTGAGAAGAGGAGGGTCCTGCGCTCGCGAGGAATCACCCGCAGTATTTTATCGACTTCGACTTCGAAATCCATGTTGAGAATTCTGTCAGCCTCGTCCATAACGAGAAATTTCAGGGAGCGCAGGTTGAAGCCCTTCGTGTTCTCCAGGTGATCGACCAATCGTCCTGGGGTGGCTATGAGAATATGGGGCTTTTTCGCGAGAATTAGGGACTGAGACATCATGTCCATCCCACCCACGATCACCGCACATTTCACTCCAATACTAGACCCTGAAAATGTTAATTAACAGTCGAAATGTCTCAACAATGTCAGGATTTGTCGGGTAATTTGCTCATTTGGAGCTTAAAAACTGGAATTATGAAGTGAGAATTACCCAGTGCTTCAAATTGTTCTGATATCTGGAATGCCAATTCTCTGGTGGGTGTCAGGATCAGGGCGAAGTACCTCTGGGGATTCTCCAGCAGGGCTTGGAGAATTGGCAAGGCGAATGCTGCTGTTTTCCCAGAGCCAGTCTCTGCCAATCCAATGACATCTTTTCCTGCTCCCCATCAACAACTTTTAGAATAATTCGCCAGCGAAGGGCTCAAAGGTTCAAGTCGACTTTGACTATTGGCCGGTTTTCAACGAATATCTCGAAATCTAAGGGAGATGGCAAAATTTTTCTCTGGACCTCTTTAGTAGCCCTCAATTCGCCCTACAAAAAAGGTCATAACAACAGTTTTGCTGTCTCCCTTAGATTCTGAGATATTCACTGAAAACTCAATAGTCTGCACTGAGAGAAAAACACGTTGTCAAACAAGTCTTGTTTGGGCCAACAAAATCGCTAGTTGAAAGTCTCGAACATGAATAATTGTTCTGCTTTCGACAGCAACGAAATATTTGGCTCAAGAGGTGGATAATTCACACCAGACGGTGCCTTTTCAGGATGAAAATATCTCATACAGAGGAAAATTTATCAACAAGTATTTTATCCCCAAGTTACAAGAACTATCATATCATTATTATTGTTTCATTTAAGGGTTCATTTGTTGTCTGTGATTATTAGACAGCCGAAACGAAAAACTACTGTCCCTTGTTTCGCATAAAACAATGATTTTTCAGGAGCAAAATACGTCTGGGAGTATCGAATAACGAAGCAGTAGTGCTAGAAATGACATTTCTTGCGTGCACAGAGAATGCAATTTTTTTTAACTACAGGAGGTTGGGGTAAAATGGACACTTTTGACTTTTTTCTAAATGTTAATGACGGGTTGAAATGTTGATAAAATTTAATAATTTTTTCTTCATTGCAAAGAACAATTCTTTCCCTTTGTCATGAGCCTAAACTGAGCTCAATTGATCAATTTGTTTCTGAGTTATGAGTAATTGAAACAAAAGTCTAAAGTGTCCATTTTGGCGACAAAAAATTTTCACTCCGGCGCACCCTCTGGATGTCTGGCGCAAAAAAAATCCCTTTTCGATAATTTTCAAAAAACTATTTTCTTGGCACAATTAAAACTTGTTTGAGAGCTTTGCAAATTACCTTGAAGGGTCAGAGGGATGGATTCCCTCTGGATTTTGGTGGGAGCTTTCCACTTGAGTTCCTCGCACGCTTGACACAGCGAATCGACAATTCCCTGAGAACACCTCACGTTTAATTGAGAGATGACAAGTTCAACATCATTTAACAAATCTTACCAAGTCCTTCCAGGTGACTTCCTTCTCCTTCTCCTCTTCGATTGTTTCTGGTCCTTCTGAATCACTTTTTTCACTCATTTTTGCCCGAACACGTGTAGTTCACCTTTCCACAAAAACAGCTGTTACTGCCGTAACCTCAAATTTCAATTTCAAGTGTCGCCCTATCGGTACAACAGGTTTCGGAAAAATCCGCGGGCCGTACGAATCGTTTGACATTTCAGTAGCGAAGCGCTAAAACGGGTTGACGTCACCTTCCCCGAGTTTTCGAGGAATATCTCCGAATCTATGGGAGATAGCGAAATTTTCGATACCAGCTGTTTTGTAGCTCTCAATTTTCTCTACAAAAAAGGTCCTGATAACAATTTCGCTACCTGCCTTAGATTCCGAGATATTCATCAAAAAATGACCATTTTATTGCAAAACATTTCGTAATAATTTATTCTGGAGTTTTCCCTGCTGAATCCAGAACTCCATTCAGCCGTTTTTCCCATTTTTCTCTCGTCCTGATCCGTCTCGCGGCCTCACCATCGCGCGTAAATACTTTGCGTACAAAATATCTCAACCCCCCCAGCAAAACCGAATGCCGAAATTTCCACACCTCTTGCAGACACTTTTCAGACCCCAAAAAACGTCCGAATAAAATGAAAATTAGTTTGAATTTCAAACATGAATTAAGACGTTGGGCACCGGTTCGTCTGAAATTCAGACATTCGTTTTTGCTGTGCCCTAGACCGCTTTCCGGCCCCTCTCCTAAAGCACTCTCGCCCCCCCAATCAAGATTTTCTTATCACCAACACCGCAAAAGTTGCGATCCCCGCTCACCGTCCGAATCAACACCGCCAATCTCCGCTATTCCCCTCGACGGCATTCCCCGTCGATTGAGTAAAGAAAAATATCGACAGAAATTCCATCAATGGGAGAGGAATAATTGAATGAACTTTACTGTAAAAAGGGACAAACAGCGCGCCAATAAACAAAAGGATGGGTTTGAAAAGGAAATGCAAAGGGAAAGGCCCGCCATCAGAGTCAAAGCAACAAGCAACAACAATCATCTACGGTTCTTCAATAGGAGAGGGACAACCACCTGGTAATACGTACTGGCGACTTCACCAATGGGTTTAAACTATCTATAGGGGGGTAATCGTCGGTAGGTACGTAAATGCCGCATACCGTGAACCAACCTAAAGGTCAATTAGAGTCCCAAGGTTTACATAACCACGAGCCGAAAGGTTGTCTCATCTGCAACGTGCCGCGCTCATTTTTTCCTATTTTTTTTTCGAAATACTGAGACTGAAAAAAAAATTTACGCTTAAAAAAAACACCCTCAACTGGTCATTTCCCATTAGCCGATGAGGCAAAGCATAATTACAAGTTACTCCGAGGTATGTCCGATTTGATGGATGACCAATCGTGAAAAATTAACAAGGTCATAAATCCCGGATGTTTTCAAACGATGGAAATGACGGGACTGAGGTGAAAATGACGGCTCGAAAAGTCTAAGTAAGCGCGTACGCAAGGCCACGGACAGGGTGAATGGGTCGGCAATTCGAAGGGGAAAAAATCAAGCCAGTTATGTAGACTACACCGCATCCACACCACCGTGAAATTATTGACCCACCGAAGGGTCACAATAATCACAAACCCCAATGTTCCAACCGCGTCATCCGCTGGGAATTTTTTCACTCCACCCCCGCCCGAGTGCGAGAGAAATGCTGATAATGAATTGATGACCAGTCAAATAACCAGTTTTCTATGCAAAATGAAAAGAATGCAAATTTTCAAATGAACGTCGCTTGAAATACCACGCGTGAACATTTTCTCAAAGACCTCACGATTTTTCGATACAATTCCCCGCTGAACAATGAAATTAAATTCCCCCCGAGTCCTTCTTCAGAGGTAGAAAAAAAAAAATCACCATGATAATGCACCATAATCTGAGAGACCCGTAATAAACCCACGAGAGGCCCGAGTGCTCTCCCCAGTGGTGGGTTATTAAATATGCGATTATGCAAGCACGAAAATGTTGGAAAGAACGTAGATTATTATGACACATAAAAGCAAGTTTATTTAACATACACCACCTAGAATTCCCCAACAGTTGGATTATGCACCAGTCCACCTTTGACCATTAACTCATCGGCGAGACGCACATGCAGGTCCCACCCATAACGATATGTTAATTACTTCATTACTATATATCCAATTAGAAATTGTCATTGCGAGTGACGCATCATCAATTCACTTGCCATTTAGCCTTTCTAATCACAATGAAATGTTCAGAAATGCTGACCCCCCCCCCCCCCCCCCCC